TTGACCTTTCGTCACTCAGTCCAAGCCACTTCTTCAGAGAATAAAACTTGAAACTATCAAGTCAAACCTTGATAATAACACCTACAATAGTTATTGGTTAAGTTACTTGAAAAATTTTCCCCTAATCTACAGCTATCAAGAAATTCATGCGCTATCACAAGTCTTAGTCTGAACACGGCGTATGAGTCAAGTGTTATCGATGAACTACAGAACCAGTTACCTTTAACCGTTTAACTGGTGGTAAACGATCCGGTCATTACAGAAAGTCGGTCATATCATGAATACTTTAATAGTAAAACTTGTTTTGAACTTCTGAATGTGTATTAATTCTTTCATGGTCACATATGAGCTTTGTTGACGCAGGTCCGCATATCGTAAAACTAACTCAACAATTCTAGTTTGTTATTTCACCCTCTCAATATTAAGTAAACTCCACCGAGGTCCTGGGTCATTCAGCTTAGTTATGACTCCGAGTCACTTGATAATTACACCACCATCAGCAATTACAAGTTAGGGCATCCACTGAAGACCAATTGATAGTTAAGACTACTCTCTAAACAGTCGTTTTTGTGAGAACTAAGACAGATAACATAATTCCCTACTTCATGTTTATTTGGATTTAGTATTTTTCTTGTAAATATTGTTGCTCTCTGCTGCGTTAAAATGTTTGCTTCCCTTCAGTCCTATCGTTACGAAGTACCTTCATAAGAGCGCTCTTTGATTTTTCGCCTTTGTTAAGAAAGGATGTTGCATAATGAGAAGAGTTTTGACTTATTCCAAATTTTTTATATAAAAAATTATATATGAAAACGGCAGGTATACTGTATTGTGTATAGTAGCGCTGATATGTACCAGCTTACATACTTCACGTATAAACTTCTGCTGCATACCGTTCAGGTCAGTAGCCATTATTTTGACATACCTGTAGCGTGTTTTATTCCGAAATATTCAAACTTCCCATTTGTTTATCGACTACTTCACAATATCGAATCGTCGTCTGTCTACCTCGATCCAGTTTGATAGGATGGGTCAAGTTTAACCTGGACCATTGTAGTCAAGCACACTAATTTATGCTTGTTTATTGCGTTACATTGTATCCACAGAGATTTACTTCAATTACTTTGATAAGGTTATACAGAAGTGTGAACCATAGCGTTCTCTGTTACATATTTTTGTTGTCTATGTATGTTATCATTATTTTCATTCTCACTTCTTTTTAGCAAATTCCTTGGAAATATAAAAGAAGCTTATGATAAAAATCCAAATCTGAGTAATTTACTTCTAGATCCATTCTTTAAAAAAGTTATTGATCAATGTGAAGTAAGTTGTGCGAATAAATAATTCTCTACTTATTGGTTGGTTAACGATTGTGGTGATTTTTTATTTTAATTACAGAATATTAAGTGTTATGCAACTTTTTTGTGTCATTGTTAATTCACTTGGTGAACTATTAAACTACTCCATCTTAAAGTAATTTTAATTAAGCTACAAATACGTGATCGAGTTACTTTTTGCAATGAATCATGATACAGTCCATTTGTGTCATCTTTACCTTATTTAACCTTTTAAACGTACCAAGAATAATAGACGAAATTGTGAATAATTAATGCTTTTTTGAAAGAGAGAGAGTAACAGTGATTCCGTTGACAAACCAAAGTTCAATAAGGATTTTAAACTAAATAGTGTATTAAGATGGTACTGATCATCGTAACATTGTGATAACAACCTTGCTCTTGTTTCTCGACTTATGAGATAACGTAAGACGATATCCAGTTATTCTATCAATTAGGAAATCCAACTTATAATTTTCATAGGTTTATGCAATTCTCCTATTCATCCTTATTTTTCTGGACGCATAGATTCAGACAGATTTATTGTTGGACCATGATCATCTCAACGAAATAAATAAGTTTTGTGCTTGAATTTGCTGCAGTTTTGTTAGTACGCAGGACAGATCAGTGATGTCTCGTGCTATTCTGATCTGCTTGATTCACACTTCTAGCAATTATTATTCATATTGTTATTGTGATTTGGTTTTTAGGATGGATGGCGTAGAGTGGTTTCTCATGGAGCTTTAAACGCGATTCCTACACCTGTATTCAGCTCTGCATTATCATTTTATGATGGAATAAAATGTCCACATTTACCTTCTAATTTAATACAAGTAAGATTCGAATCCTGTTTGACTTTTTCTATATCGTCTAGCAAATATGAATTTACCCTCTGTAACAACTTACTTACGCCTATTACGCCTCATGGAGGAGCATAGGCCGTTCACCAGTATTCTCCATTCCACTCTTTCATGGACAATCCTTTCCGGTTGCTATTCATCCTTTTCGTGTCTGCTTCCAATTCCTAAGGCATTATGTTACTTAACCTTTCTCTTTTCCGTTTTCCTTCAGGATTCCAAGTTAGTGTTTGCCTCGTGATGTAGTTCAATGATTTCCGCAATGTGTATCCCAACCACTTCCAATGTCTTTTCCTAATTTCCTCAGCTGGTTTGTTCTCTCCCACAGTAAGCTATTACTGATGGCATGTGACCAATATGTAGTGCAGTGTAGTCCGTCGTATGAATTCCGGACGATGTTGACGAGATATGCCATAGTGTCGGAGAAGGTTTCATAACGTTCTATCCACACTGTCAAATGCTTTCTTATATTCAAGGAACTTGATGTATGGTGACGAATTCCATTCAACTGGTTGTTCAATGATGATCCGTAGTATCGAGATTTCATCTGTGCACGACCGATACTTGCGGAATCCAGCCTGTTGATATCGATGCTGGACGTCTACAGAATCTTTCATCCGGTTCAGCGGCACTCTGTTGAAAACTTTTGCTGGTACCAACGGTAGTGTGATCTCTTTATAGTTTTCACATTTACTCAGATCTCCTTTCTTTGGTATGTTGATGAGATGTCCGTCTTTCCAGTCTATCTGTGGCACTTGTTCTTCCTCTCAAATGTTCCTGAATAGAACGTGGAGCATGTTTGCAGTTGTTTCTATATTGTCAGGTCGTGCTGCTTTCCCATTCTTGATTTATCTGGTGACCAGCCATGCTGGTTTATTCGATCGTTGGTGGGGTGGCATCTATAGGAAAGTCTGTGTGTGCTGCTTCGATGTCTGATGGGTCTAAACTATTCAAGAGTTCCTCAAAGTATTCTACCCATCTGTCTTTCTGTCCTCGAATCTGGGTGATTGTCTTGCCTTCTCTGTCCTTGACCGGTCTCTCTGGTTTACGGTATTTCCCTGCTAGTTTCGTCGTGTCATATAGCTGTCTCATATTTCCTTCTCATGCAGCTTTTTCCACTGTCGCTGCTACGTCTTCCACGTACTTCCACTTTTTGTCTCTAATGCTCTTCTCCACTTGCTTGTTTGTTTCTGTGTATTCAGCTTGTTCCTTGACTTTCTCTGTTCTCGTTTGGCTGTTGTTAATTGCTGTCTTCTTGATCTTCCTTTCTTGAATCTTGTCTAGGGTTTCGATAGAGATCCATTCCTTATGATGATGCCTCTCGCAGTCCAACACCTCCCGACACGTTGAAGTTAATGCTTCTTTGATCCATTTCCATTTGTCCTCCATAGTAACATTTTCTTCTTTAGATGATCTTGTAAGTCTTGGAATCTGTTGTTGAGAGCTATCTTGAACGGGTTGAGTTTGTCAGCATGTCGAAGGAAGGCTGTATTGAACCTTTGTAGTGCTGTTTGTCCAGCTGTCGAATCCTTCTTTAGCTTCAGTTTCATCTTGACCACAACTAGGTGGTGATATGTCAGCTCCTCTCTTTGTTTTCACGTCTTCCATTGTCCTGAATTTTTTACTGATTCAAATATGATCTATCTGGTTCTCAGTGGTGTGATCCGATGAGACCCATGTAGCTTTGTGTGGGAATATTGTGCCGCCTATAACTAATTTGTTGAATGCACATAGGTTTACAAATCTCTACCCATCCTCGTTTCTCTCTTCCAGTCCATGTCGTCCCATTATATCTTCATATCCGGTGTTGTATATCCCCACTTTGGCGTTTTATTCTCCCATCAGGATGGTGAGATCCTTTCTTTGGCACTTCGCTTTGATTGATTGCAGCCCCTCATAGGGCTGATCTTTATTGCCGTCGTTGCTATCATTGGTGGGTGCATAACATTGGATAACGTTCGTCGTAATTCCCTTTTTCTTTGTTTTGAAGGATCTTTTGATGATACTGGATCCGTGAGATTCCCATCCTATAAATGCATTACGTGCTTCTTTAGATAGCATCAAAGCAACTCTCTGAGTGTGTGGAGCAGTTTCCTCTTCTTGGCCAGAGTACAGCAGCATCTCTCCCGTATCTAGCCTTTTATGTCCAGCTTGGGTCCAATGGGTTTCGCTGATTCCGAGTACTACCAAGTTGTATCTCCTCATTTCCGTTGCTATTTGACTAGTCCTCCCGGTCTCCAATATTGTCTGGGCGTTCCATGTACCTATGAAAATTGTTGCTCTGGTTGTTAGAAGGGTCACCGGCCTCGTGACTTCCGAAGAATCTCGGCTTTCATCATGAGGCGTCATAGTTCTTCCTTCAACTCCTAGGGCATATTTTAAATGGTTGAATTTTAATCTGTTTAGCGTTTTTTTAAAAGATCTTTTCTACGGGATGGGGTTACCGACCCCACACCCAACCCTCCTCCTTTACCCGGGCTTGGGGCCGGCAGTAACTCTAGAAAAGCTACAGGCGGAGTTCTTCGAAACAAGCTTCATGAATTAAATAATCCTCATTTTCACTTTTAGGCTCAACGTGACTATTTTGGAGCTCATCAATTTGAAAAAACTGATAATCCAGGCACGTTTATTCATGTCGACTGGACAGGTCATGGCGGTTCAGCAGCTTCCACTACATATCAGGTTTAATTCTTAACAAATTTTGTGATATTTAATCATATCTATATTATTTAATTAGAAAATTAAGAAACTTCTACAGATTATTACGTTTTCAAAATTTCTTTTTATGAACGTTTGTCAGAAATAATTTCTTAGATAAAAAAATGTATTCTTAGAATGATTTGTACAAGTTATTTCTCATATCACACCTAATAAATTACACTCTAGTAGCCGTCATTCGTTATTCCATCTCATCTCCAGAATCAAAAGCTTCGCGTTGTTCGTTATCCTCGCCGCCTATACCAGCACCTAACCTTGAACGATCACTGACTGAGGATACGGATATTTTTGAGGAAGTTGGTTTTGCATTCTTGCCTTCACAAGCAACTATTTTTATCTGAAAGTCGACAAAAAGTATTAATGATTAGTTATTGATACAGGTTTGTTAGCGAAACGTTGCTTTTTTGCTGGATACTAATAAAATTCTCTGCTATTAAACATACAAACACAGCACATGCTAAATGTCAATGACCCAGTCTAAGGTAACCTCTATTAGGATAAAAGAATGTCCTTTAACTATTGGGAAGCTATTCCTCAATATATTGATTTATTGAAGTACACAAGTCTGTTCAATGGACGGAGGACTACATAATGCACAATACAATACGTAATCCAAAGTAATTCTCCACGTTCTTGGACCACTTGGTAATGTAAGATAGAAACTGTATTTGAGTCAATTTAATCACATAGAAAACACTGGATTTATGTTCTTAATGTATACTCATATCATCGACGAAACACTATAAATTTAACGTGAGATTCCAAGTCATATTGTTTCACTGTCTGTTTCTGCTGTCGTAGTTCTAATTTAAAAAGAAAAAACAGTCGAGACAGTTGATAAGGGTGTCTTATGTAAATACTTTTACTCCTAACATAGCTGAACACATGATTTTTCAATTATTAACAGCTAAGTAAATTAAACTGACGCAATAAATCATCTAGGCTCTGACCGAATAGCGAACTACATTAGTCAGTAATTAGGATCTTTAAACCTAACAAGAACATTCACACCGAAAGGAAAACAGGGAAATAAGCGCCAAATAATGAAATCACTAAAGAAGACTAGATATATATTGGACGGTTTAATGATGATGTAACTTATCTACTAAGGACAGACTTATGCGCTATTCAGCTCTAAACTGCATTTGTCCCGATCGAAGCTGCTACCTTGACGCGGTGGTCGGGCTTGCCTATCGTGATGACCCAACCGAGCTATATTGGCTGGAACATATGTTCCTGCAGGTTCTACCATACCAGGCAGGTCGATTGGCGAACGGTAAGACTAAAAGCAGCAACTCAAGGTCTGAGGGCGAAGTCGTACTGCTGACTGTAGAGAGGTGTGACAGCAGTAAGGTGTTTCCCTCGGACAACCAGCATGACAGCGATGCTGCCTTCCCACAAGGAGGGGTGGGGTTAGAAAAGGTCGACCCTAAAAATGCACACCTCACCTTACCTCACGGATTTCCGTCTCCGGCGGTAAGGCCCCTTGAAGAACGGAGCTAACACGTCAAAAACCTTCCACAAAAAGGCCGTGCGCGACCGGCCTCAAGCAGTTGTCCCTTGGACTCTGCGGTCACGCTCCCAGGTCGTTAAGGCCAACATTAATCCAACTTCCTTTTCAGGTTCCTCAAGAAATACCCTTCCACAGTGTGGGCAGCTGGGAAGTGACATCAGCCCTCACACCCGTAACAACACACGAGACCAAGTTGATCACATTCAAATCCTTCCTACACCTCCTAATACCTCTCTTATCCTCCCGACTAACCCTCCTCACGTCTCTTTATCACCTCGCGCCGCTAGGGCAAACGATTCGAGTACGTGGAACGCCATTCCTGGTCTCCTGAAACCACGCTCTAAACTACACGTAGGAGCTTTTAACGTACGAACACTTTGCCAAATAGGACAGCAGGCTTCCTTAGCTAAAACTTTAGAATCTCGCGCCATCGATGTGTGCTGCGTCTCCGAAACGCGCATACAGGATTCAAGTAGCGTCATTCATTTGACCTCACCATGCCAAAATAAAGAACCGACTCGATTTACGCTTCGTGTATCTGGAAGCCCTGATTCTGCTTCCCGTGGCCTCGCCGGCGTAGGTATAGCATTGAGTCCTAGGGCAGAACTAGCTCTCTTAGAGTGGATCCCAGTAGACAGTCGTTTGTGCGCTGTCCGACTAAACGGAACAGTGAGGATCCGAAAAGGTAGGGACACTCGTCGTTGCCTCTTCGTCGTCTCTGCCTATTCTCCCACTGACTGCAGCTCAGATGATGTGAAACATGAGTTTTACAGAAAGCTTTCCGACCTTCTCCGAAAAGCTAAGCGCTCGGATGTAGTAATAGTGGCCGGTGACTTTAATGCTCAAGTAGGTAAACTAAGCGATAAGGAAAGACACCTAGGTGGATCCTATGGTGTCGTGGCTCAAAGAACAGATAATGGCGACCGTCTGTTGCAGCTATGCTCAGATAACCGCCTGTTCCTTGCAAATACTAACTTTAAGCATAAGGAAAAACATCTTTTAACATGGCGACCCCCTAATTCGTCCCAACGTTGGACCCAAATAGATCACATCGCTATCAGCCACTGATGGAGGGGCTCGATAGAAGACTGTCGCTCATTCTGGAGCACATGCCTAGATTCAGATCATGCTCTAGTGCGAGCGCGTATTTGCTTGCGTCTTACTGGACGTAGGAAAGATCCTGCAAGGAAACCTCTTAGGGCCTACTTAATGATAGTCAAGCTAAGAATATATTTCAGGAACAACTAGGAAAACAGTTAGGCAGCCATGTATGTGATGCCCGCCCCGAGGCAGCATGGAACGATATCCGAAAAGCTGTGGAAACAGCAGTGATATCTGCTAGTAAGGTAAATCGTAAAGTTAGGGAGCAACACTGGATCTCAGCAGCATCTATCGCACTGATAGATGCTCGAAAACTCATTCCACCTGGCTCTGAACATAATGAAGAGCGGAGTCAGCTTAAGCGCAAGCTGACAAGAAGTCTACGCAATGATCGCGAACAGTGGTGGGTAGCGAAAGCAAGAGAGATGGAAAAGGCAGCGGCAATAGGTAATAGCAGACAATTGTTCAGACTCGTTAAGGAAACCGGAATTAGGAACCCGACCGTTAGCGAAACAATCTCAGAGAAAGATGGACATATTATTCATTCTCAATCCAGGAGATTGGATCGATGGGCAGAACACTTTAGGGATCAGTTCAACTGGCCTTCAGCCACACTTCGGTTTCCCACGATCTCCAGTCAACCTGAATGGCAAGTTAATGTAGGTCCTCCGTCCCTTTACGAAGTTGAAAAAGCCATAGGAAATCTGAAACGAGGGAGAGCAGCAGGCCCTGACAGGTTTACTCCTGAGATTTTTAAGGATGGTGGTCCAGTATTAGCAATGAGATTAACTGAGGTCTTAGGTAGAATTTGGGAACTGGACGTAATCCCATCTGACTGGTCTCAATCACTGATTGTGCCAGTTTTTAAGAAAGGACAAAAGTCCTCTTGTGACAATCACAGAGGAATCAGTTTGACTAATATAGTGTCTAAAATATTAGCCTCAATAATACTTCGACGCCTAACTAAAGCTCGTGAAGAGCAGATTAGAGAAAACCAGGCTGGTTTTCGACCTGGACGTGGTTGTATAGATCAGATATTCACACTACGTCAGGTTCTAGAACACAGACACACATTCAGACGCCCCACAATGGTAGTATTTCTCGACCTTAAGGCGGCATTCGACTCCGTTGATCGTGAGGTTCTATGGCAGTGTTTGTCACTGAAAGGAGTACCAAAGAAGTACATTAACCTTATAAAGGCTCTCTACTCGAACACAACTGGTAGAGTGAGAGCTTATGGCGAACTGTCATCAGAATTGATCACCTCAAGTGGTGTTCGTCAGGGCTGTCCACTCTCCCCATTCTTGTTCAACTTTGTGGTCGACGTACTTTTAGAGATAACACTCTCCTCATCTAAATTTCCAGGAGTTGAACTTCTACCAGGAGGTTCACTTGTTGACTTAGAATATGCAGATGACATAGTCTTATTTGGTGAAGACGCTGACAAAATGCAGAGTCTTCTGACCACTCTAAGCAACAATGCAAGCATGTTCGGGATGCGATTCTCTCCCTCGAAATGCAAAATGTTGCTTCAGGATTGGGTTACATCGACACCCGAACTAGTGATAGGGAGTGAAGTAGTTGAGTGTGTCGACCGCTTCACTTATCTTGGAAGTCTCATCAGCCCTTGTGGTTTGGTGTGTGACGAAATCTCAGCACGGATACAGAAGGCTCGACTAGCTTTTGCCAACTTGCGTCATTTATGGCGTAGGCGAGATATCCGTCTATCAACCAAAGGACGTGTTTACTGCGCAGCAGTTCGTTCCGTCCTACTTTATGGCAGTGAAACATGGCCGGTAAGAGTAGAGGATATCCGTAGGTTACTAGTATTTGATCATAGGTGTCTTCGAAACATTGCTCGTATATCATGGGACCATCGAGTAAGTAACACAGTTGTTAGGAAACGGGTACTAGGTAAGGATGGCAAATCAATTGATGAAGTAGTGAAACTTCATCAGTTGAGATGGCTGGGACACGTGTTACGTATGCCCAACGACCGACTGCCTCGACGTGCTATGTTCAGTGGTATAGGAGTAGGTTGGAAGAAAGCTAGTGGCGGCCAAACCAAAACATGGCACAAGTCCATGAAGTCACTGACAAGTGAACTGAGTCATGTTGGTAGGTGTAGACTACCTGGTTGGGGACCGCGAGATGACAGCAACCGATGGTTAGAGACCCTGAATGACATGGCTCAAAATCGTTTGCAATGGCGCAGGTGCATCCACTCTCTGTGTTCACCCAAACTCTAATCTTCTGAATTCTTCATGTCCCTTTTTTCCTCTTTCCAAATTTATTTCACTGGATTATACTCTTTAAATAACATCTCCAAACCCTAATCTTCCCGATTACTGCTTATACTCTTATTACCTCTACCACTACGGGATTTGAATCGACAAGTGCATCTCTGTGCTAATGTGGTGTGGCAACTCGAACTGATGTACGTACGTACGAAGTTCTACGTTGTTACTGACTGACTGACTGACTGAAACTGCATTTGTTGAGGGCTAATGATACTAACCGGGTGCCAAACCGAAGTGAATATGAGGTGTGGGTTCGCACGTGCTAGCTACCGCCCCATCGTTCGATATGAGTAGATAAAGAATACAGGAAGGCTTTTAGACTTAAAAGAAAGTGATGTATACGTATGCACCAAAGGGAATGCATTTCTAATTGTCAGCCACTTATAGAAAACTGGTGAAACCTCCAAGACAAGCGAGGTAGTCGGCAATCTGGGCTCCTCTACGCCCTTTTCGGTCATAATAGGTATTACGAAGCAACACTTCAGACTGAAGGTGAAGGATATACGTCGTAGATATCAGTGTATTACGGTGGTCGAAAGATTATTTTTTCCACCATATTTTCCAAATAAAACTCGTTTATGTACTGCAAGTTGCCAAAGACGGTGATCGATTCGCGGAAAGTTATACGATATGTGAAATATAATTGGTCGTTGAGCATAGACAAGCAGGCAACTAGCCTATTGACAATTGAATTCTACTCCGGACTCACTGAGTCCCACTGCTTGCAATTGTGACGAACAAAGCATTATCTATTGTTAATATGATTCTCTATTCTGGGTCGTGAATCCTGGATTTGATGTAACGTTAATAGTTTGATTATCATATTAACGTATTATCGTAGTATAGCTGAGAGAAAAATATTTTAAACCATCCCTTATATTATGTGAAAACAGTGTCATTTCCAGCGCATTCATTAGACATTGAAAAAAAAACATGATGGCTAATCGTAAGAAACCATTTAATATAGTCAATAAAGAAGCTAATCAGCTCTGGCTCGGTCGCTGGAGTTACTTAATGGTCGTAGAATACTAAACCGAAACCTTATATTGGTGAGTGTCGAGTACTTTAAGAATATTGCATACGCTTACTCTCAAGAACATAATTAAGTCTTACAATCTAAGCTTACCTTATCAACTGTCATAATAGCAGAGGAATCTTTTATTTCCACATCATTCATCACTAACGTCCATACATTGTCACAGTTCCTGTAAGTGTTCAGGTGACCACGAAGCGAAAGACGGTTTTTAACACGTTTTGCCAAAGCATTACTTATACATTGGTCGAACTTCTGCATAACCTAAGAAGGTTACATTTAACCATAGTGTCATATGGACTAAGTTACCTTGTGGTCCATTCCAGGCTGTAGTAGATTATGTGCTAGCATTTCATCTAGGGCTTCACGAAGGGTAGTCCCCAGTGTAGTGCTTCTGTACATTTCATGATACGTCATTTTTGATAGAGAATTAAGTTTTACAACGTTCTAAAACGAAACAGTAAAAAAGGACGAGAGTAGTGCTACTGCGTAAATACGTCTAGAATTTCAAAGTTGGAACCAAACTTACTTTTCCTTCGTATAAATACAATTGACAAGACAGATTTCTGTGGTTCAGTATCTAATTAGCATTGAAGGTGGAGAGATTGCGACAGGTAAATAAACGTACTTCTTGCGGTCTGCACATCGGATGACCGGCGAATTACTGAGTGTCCTTAGTAAATATTTGCAAAAAGTGTCTTGATTGTGACTCCCGAGTATAGTATTTTTGTGTGCGTTTAAAACCATCAACCTACAATTGTTGAAACATCTGCTACAAGCCATTACTATTGTTACTAATTGACTAGTAAACAGTTGTCAGTACCACCGGTCTATATCGTCAACCACATGTTTAATTAAACTATTAAAATGAGCGAATATTACTTCTCATGATAAGTGATCAAGGGCAATCAGTAAAAATCTATGAGAAGGTCGAGACGTTACAGAATTGCGAACTCGAGGTTTTTGTCACTGCTTAAATTGGAGCTATTGCGACCTAGTCCCACAGGGAAGTAATGATTGTAACTAGTCCTTCGACCAGACTCCCTTATGACTTAATGTGGAATCACAACGAAGAAGCACTTAGCGACAGATAATGATAAGAAAACTCATATTAGCAGAGTGTAAAGAAATAAATATTATGGGATAATCATCAACATCAGAAGTTTGTATTGCACTTTAACGTACGAAGCGTGGCGATTCATAGGTTAGTTTAGCATTAATTTTTGCTATACTAGACAGCTGAAATGAAGGATCGAAAACTCCGTTACTGATAGAAGATATGACATTTATACCAATAAAGTGGTGTCACAAATTACGACTAAATTATAGCTGTTAGAAGCAGGCTCCCACTTTAAGATGCACTTATCCCATAGAATCCCGATTTGTTCTTCAGACTTTTAATTACACCGTAAGCAGGATGAGTGAAAGGTTTACAGTTTAGTTGACATCATGTATCAGCACGACTTCGAAATTTACTAAAGGGTGGAAGGGATTAGGTCAATAGATGGTTAGAGATTTACCAGTTCGAAAAGTAATGTAGTGAGTCATGCTACTCGAACGGATTTCCGGCAAGACTTTTTCAACCCGAAGTTATTTTCCATAGCAGTCAGCATAACGGTTATTGCGAATTTGCCACGATAACCATGTTTTGAAAATTACTTGTATACCGTAAACATAAGCACTTATTTTTCAAGAAACCAGCGTCCTATTACGTTAGTGAATGGCTCATTAGAATTTGTATTGTTATAAGACTCGTGACACAACAACCGCCTCATTCAATACACAATTACTCTGAACTACCAATAATAGATTAGCATTACCTATGACATACTGGGTGGTGATAACATGCGATACAACCCAACCAGCAGTTCTCAAAGCTCGGATAAAGCTATTTTAGTAGGTACTTCGGTTCTTAACTAAGTGTTAACCAGAGCAATAGAGTTTTGAGGATTATTATATTTGAACAATCCACAACAAAACGATACACATCCGAAGAATCCACCTAAATATAGTCAACATATATATATTCATTGCATAAAACTGGCCATTTGGTTAACAAGAACCGGTGCTAACCATTGAATCGAAGGGTTGGTTGGATTTGTACTTGTTCATGTCTAGACTTTTACTGAAAGGCAATTTACCGAGCAAGTATAAATAAGGTATTACATGTTTTTAAAAAAATAATAAGACCAGAAATACGCTCAATTTTATTTTTGTTGCGTTTTCGGTTATTTCTCACATTATTTTCGTAATAAACACCCAAATACTATACGGTGTTAGACAAGGTCAAAAAAAGGCTACAACCTGACTTCAGGGTCATTGTTCAGCTTTCAATATCCTCTCGACGTTCCAGTGTAAACTAGTCTTCAGTCTTCAGTAATAAGGGTAGTAGGTTGATGAACCTGTATTAATTCTGACACACTGCTTTTCAGTGAAGGTCCAGCTTCTCCTTGAAATTGTTCACTGGTGGGGCTGATACCACTTGTTCGAGTAAGGCGTTCCAATCATTGACTACTCGATGAGAAAAACGGGACCCCACTTTAAGTTTATTAGATATTGGTTTATGAACCTTCTTGCTATGATCGCGGAGATTATTATTACTGGAGGGAGCAAAAAGATAAGACATATTAACACCAAAATCATAATTAAAGATACGAAATGCCAGTATAATGTCATCTCGTGTCCTACGATACGACAAGGGGAAAAGATTTAGGCGTTTTAAACGCTCATCGTAAGGGGGTCTAGAAAGACCCTTCACTAATTTCGTTCTCACACGCTGGACACGCTCAAGGGAGTTAGTATCCTTTACCAGACACGGGCTAGCTACTTGGATACAGTACTCTAAGTGTGGTCTTACATAGGTGGGATATAAAATTCGAAACATTTCCTCGTCAAAAGATTTGAACGCTCGGAGAAGTGACCATAACGCACGAAAACCTTTGACAGCGGCTGCTTTGCAATGCGTAGTTGTTTTTAGATAATGACTTAATACTACTCCTAAGTCTTTATGCTCTTGAACGCATGGAAGAGGTTTACCCTCAAAAGTGTAACGGTAACAATTACCGTGACCGATGTGCATTAGCACACTCTTCCTAGCATTGATTTTCAAGCCCCACTCTCGAGCCCATCTAACTACATCTTCTAAGTCAGCTTGAAGATCCAGAAGATCAGCCGCACTTTTTATTGTTCTCCAGATTTTTACATCATCCGCAAACAATAATGTCGACGACCTAAGTAACAGCGGTAACCCATTAACGTGGAGAAGGAAGAGCGGAGGGCCTGAGATGGTGCCTTGGGATACACCGCTTTTGACCGGCTTCTAATCGGATAGCGTTCCGTTGGCCCTCACTCTCTGTCTGCGGTCACATAAGAAGTTTCCTGTCCACTCATGTACAGTACCTATCATTCCGAGGCTCGTGAGCTTCTGCATAAGACCTGCGTGTAAAACCTTGTCAAATGCTTTGCTAAAATCTATGAACATCACATCGACAGACAGACCATTATCTAGGGCTGCTGTCCAATTCCTGCTCGCAATAAGCAAGTTAGTCAAGCATGAACGCTTGTTACGAAATCCGTGTTGCTCTGGAGCTAACAGATTGTGTAAATTTATGTGGCCTAGCAACCTAACCCGAAATAACTTTTCAAGTAACTTAGCGACTATGCTAGTTGGACCAACAGGCCGGTAGTTAGATACTATATGTCTCTGGCCGTCCTTAAATGTAGGACTGACTATAGCGTCCTTCCAATCTCTAGGGAGTTGAACGAGTGAAAGGGGCATGTTGAAGAGTGTCGCAAGCGGTTTTCAAATAATGTCCGCAAGAGATGACAGCAACCGTGGATGTAACCCGTCAGGGCCCGGTGTCTTACCAGGTTTGAGGTTAGTTATCAATGGAAGGACAGTTTCCTCAGTCACCTGTACAGATTCCATGGTTGGTATCTCGGTGTGAGTGGGACAAGTATTTGTTACAATAAACGTCAGCAAGACAAAACGGGCCACGGTATATTCCCCCCATAGTCACTAACCCACTTCTAGATTTAATCTTGCAACATGCAACCTTACATGTGCCACTGATATGAGCCTCCGATATTGTTGATTGTATACGAAAGTGATCCTTAACGTATAATATTATACCTCCCCCCTTGCGACTTAAAACTCTGTCACTCCTAATACAGATATAGCCTTCAATGATGGGAGAACAGTCTATATCTACGGTGAATCAAGTTTCTGTAACAGCGATTATATCGAGACATAATTCTTCCACTATCAGACTTAGCTCGGACGTTTTATTTCTAAAACTACGAGCGTTCGTGTAGCACACACTAAAGGTGTTTTGGCAATCAATCGTTCTACCTATACAGACCTCGGAAACATTGGCTTCCAAGACCTGACTATCCGAAAACCCTTAATGGTAAGGTTATTTTCGCCATTTAATTTGCGAGTTCTCAATTCTGTAAGAGCATTCTTCCACTTGATTCGATCTTCAAGCGGCCAATCTGGTCGAATACGGATATTTAAGTCACGAGTTTTTGGTGCGTTTTTCAATAATATGTCTCTTTCTTCAAAACTCCCAAGAACCAGCTTCAGGATTCTTCTTGTTTGGGTCTTGTCTCCAACCTATTTACCGAGTCGTATTACTTTTGTAATATGTACCCCTGAAACCTCTTCAGGTAGCACATTTCTTACCACAGACTCCACTAACTGCAGATCATGTGCATGTCTTCTAGCAGGGTCGTTATCTTTCGACTCCTCTAGATTCCAAATAATTAAACTAGGAAGAGATTTAGCTTCCTTTGAAATTGTGTTAACAGCTTTCAACCGTGACGATAGATCCTGTATATTAACTACTGGTATTTTACGATTAGCTTTCATTGTAACAGAGTCCCGTGAGTGACTCACAACAGTGTTAGACGAAGCTTTACTTTGAAGCTTTTGGCGGAGTGGTCTGAGAGTCCACCAAGTACTTAGCAAGTAAACAGTCATTAGTTTTAGCTGTTATTTGATTTTACTTTTCAGTCACACCAGGATGGGTTTCACTCTTACCATCAGATTTTGGTAGTGCAGTATGTGACTCACAATGAGAGTCCGTCAGTGAGTTGCTAACTACCTGTGTACTGCCGACAGCTTTTTTCCTTTCGTTTCGTTTCCTACGTACCGTAGTCCATTTTTCATCCCTCAGGACATTGGGACTATTTGGAACGGTGATGGTTTTATCCAGTTCGTCGGTTCCCACTAAAGGTGCGTTGTTATCACTGTCAGTACCAGGTGGTATTACTCCCCATGTTAATGTTAACGGCGATCTCACTTTTGCGTCGGTCAGAGTCGGTTGTTTGAGGCGTCGCTTAACAGCAGGTACTACACTGACACATTCGTCACTGTCAGTGCCGGTGTTGTCAGCGCATGTGTCACCGTTTTTCTTGCAGGCCAAAGCCAATAGGCACATAGCCTCCTGAATTAGTACCTTTTTATCCGCACAGCAGAACATACAAAGCCAATGCGAGTTCGGCTTCGAGCATCTTTTGTATGCCATCAAACTTAGACGTGTGCACATTTTGTGGTACCACTTTTCGCAGTCACCACACTGCATTCCCTCCTCAACGGGGAACAAACAATTTGGTTGCCCACATTTGTGAGTCTTACCAACCATTGTAATTAGATTTAAAAACACACAATGATCACAATGTGACCACAAGTGTTAATCTAGGAGTAAAAAAAAGGTACCTAGGACAAAATTTAGCAAAAAATTTCAAACTTTAACCAAAGTACTTTTAGTTAAAGTAGACCAAGAATGCTTTTTGGTGCAATAAGTACCCAAAGCAAGTATAATCACAACAAGTACAAAAATCACTGCCCTTTTTGAGACTAGATGATACATTCGCCATTATAGTTTAGTGCTGGATAATAGGTTTATATCCCCAGTATTATTCTTAACTGTGGATTTAGTTACCTGTTTTCAATAGCCACTGTATTCGCATTCATGTAAGCCTTGAGGTGTCATTGGGGTGAAATATAGTCATTCTACTAAAAATAACTTTCCATACACACTTATTGAGGACAATGCTGCACATGGTCTGCTAGAGTCATCTGATCCTAGATGAATCCAACCGGCTTATATTGTTGCGGTAAAACCTGATAACAAATATGTTGAAATACTTGTTTGTAGGAAATTTAGTTGACGATTTTATTATCATATTTGCGCCATTATAACACGTAAAAGAAGCGATAACACAGATCTCAGAACCAGGAAATTCAATGAGTGGCCTAATGTTATCTCATACAGTGGGATTTATTCTCAGTCTTCAGTCCATTTCTTTACATGTTGACAGTGCTGTAGGGCTTGTAGCGGTAAATCCCGGAATGAAAAACGAATGTAGTTCGACATGGACTTACATATTCTTTTTTTATATTCCAGGACGACTGGAAAAGACGATAAAAAGAACGATAAACTTTACAAAGAACCGAAATTTTTATTGCACTTTTTCTTTTTTTACTATATTGTACTTCATGGTCCCTTATAGTATGGAAAGACGACCAGACGTTGCTGAAACTAACAAGCTATCAGAAGAGTGTTTACCAACGACAAACTCGTTGAGTTTGAACTTTTGGCTAGCCATGCCTTAGGGTCATCACTACCCCACTAGGAGGAGGAGTGATCTGTAGACCATACAACTCCACAAAATAAATGGCTCTGCAAATTTTCGACATTGGATGCTGACCACATTAGTTTTAGTGGACTCACCTAACTGAAGGCTCTCGGTCATGCATCCGCACCAGATCACGAGCGGAACGCCGTGCTCAACATCCTCTACAATCGCTAGCCAGATTACATCAGACGATCCTCGATGTATTGATAGTGTATCAAATATATCCTCAAACCTCCTCGCTTCTGTCTTTTGTTTTCATATGGTGTGTACGCTTCATATTAGGTGTTACTGATTAAAGCGTTGTCAAAGACGAATACCTGTGGCAGCTTCAGGTTATTGAAATTTCAACAGCGTCGTGCCACTGAATATCGAACGGTCTTCCGATCCTTGTCAATGTCGGGGACAACGGCCACGCATCAATCAACTGCGCTCTATGAACTGGCCTATGAACTTGTGGTGATCATACCTTGTTCCTTGAGCTTGCTGTTACTACTATATTCCTGTAATTATGTCATTTGTGTTGTACGGCCATCAAAATAGACGTGGTAGCAGGATACAACCAAAGGGTAACCTACGTTTGACACTTACCGTGACATGTAACTTTGGTGTTAACTGGTTGGCCACGCAGTGGCTGCCTAACTAGATTAGGCCGACGATCAGTCGACTCAGATCGTCCCTTTTTG